TCTCGGGCCTGTCCTCCGATCGCGACGAGAATCGTCGACGGGCAAATTCTGGACAGATCCGACGTAAATTCTTTCGACCGTTGCGTGTCGTCGTCTCCGCGTCGACGAAAGATCTACGTCGTGTGCGATCGCGAGCGTCCAACCGTCGGCGTACCGCGCGGTTTCCAGCTGTCGATTCGCCCGATCTCTTCGATCCGAGAGCGTGAGAAATTCGTCGAACGTAAATATCGGGCGTCGCGTCTTCTTTCGTTGCAAAATTGTACGACCTTTTCCGTTCTTACCGATAGATTTCCAAAACCCGAACTGTCTCGAAATTTTTCAACGACGTGCGACGATCGAAACACCGTCGTGGAAAGACGCGTTTCCGACGATCGTCCAACTGCGAGTACGCGCGAGGGAACGTGTCGTTCCGTCGTTTCCGTCGCGTCGAGGATGCGTCGAGGAGAGAGGAACGAGCTGTCTTTTCCGAATTTTTCAAACGACCGCTTCTGTCGAGCGACGAAACCTGCGTCGACGAACGAGATTCCGTGTTGCGCTCGAACGCGTACGGCCGATAGACGAGGTCGCGAATAACGTCGAGAGATATCGTTTCTTTTCCGATTGCTTTCGCTTCGTGTTTTCCATCTGTCTGGCGTCGGTGACCGATTTACGTTGGATTTGCCAGCAACGTGCGAATCGCGAATCGCGAATCGAGAATAGCTTCCTACGACCGAGCGGCTCGACTGGCTGGCTCTATCGACGAGCACTGCGACGAAGAGAAGGAAGAAAGTACCGGCGGAAGAGACGCGTAGCTTCTTTCGATCGACGAGAGTGGACTACTGCCTCGCGTGGTAACAGTTTCGCGTTGTCGGTGAACGAGCGTCGTTCGTTGTCCGAAGATCGTCGATCGAACGTCTCGCGAGATGATTTTAATCTCGCTCGCGACTGAAACGATCTCGACTCGAGAGCAAACTCGTTGTCGACTCGCTGCCTCTTTACCTTTCTTCCTACCGGATAGCTCCGAATTTCTCGTTTCGAGATTGGCAAACGACATCCGCGTGTGTACGCGCGATCGTTCGTTCGAGAGTTGTCCGAGTCGAAGCTTCTCCCTCGAAGCGGGCCGATGACGCGAGAATGTATCTCGACGCTTGCTACGATGATGTCTGGCTGAAACTTTAACGCTCCGCTCTTCCTCGTATCTGCGAGATTCCGTCGACGCGAATACGCCGATTCCCGTTTTTTACGGACCGTGTGTCGACGCAAAGTTGTTGTTGTTGTTGTCGTTGTTGTTGTTGTTGTTGTTGTCGTTGTTGTTGTTGTTGCGAACCCAACGATCGTCCGGTTGAGAAGAAACCGAC